AGTGTAAAGACTGTGTATGACACTCTAATGGTGGATTCATGTCATTATACCTTTGTTCAAACCCATAGATTTTACAACACCGGAGTGAACCCTAATGGGAACTATAGGATTTGGGTGAGAATGATGTGTCCATGTCGGTTTATAAATTGTAACCAATGTGCCATTCTGCTGGGGATGGTAATAATGAGGAAGGCTGAGCATGGGGGAGGGGAGCACTGAGGATCTGTAAGTTATTTCTGTACCTTCCTCTCAATTTTGCTGTGAACCTAAAACTGCTTTTAAAAACCAAAGTTTTTTTTTTTGCTTTTTAAAAAGATGAGAGTCTTGCTATGTTGCCCAGGCTGGAGTGCAGTGGCTATTCACAGGTGCAGTCCCACTACTGAACAGCACAGGAGTTTTGATCTGCTCCATTTCTAATCTAGGCCAGTTCAACCCTCCTTAGGCAACCCTAGGTCCCAGTGACCCAGGAGGTTACCATATTTATGCTGAACTTAGTGCAAACACCTGATTGGAATAGCTCACTACAACCCAGAATTCCTGGACTCAAGTGAGCCTCCTGTCTTAGCCTCCTGAGTAGCTGGGTCTACAGGTACGGCCACTGTGCCTGGCATAAAGTCTTTTTTTTTTTTAATTTTTGAGACAGTCTTGCTCTGTTGCCAGGCTGGAGTGCAGTGGTGCAATTTGAGCTCACTGCAACCTCTGCCTCCTGGGTTCAAGCAATTATTCTGACTCAGCCTCCTGAGTAGCTGGGATTACAGGCATGCATCACCGTGCCCAGCTAATTCTGTACTTTTAGTAGAGACAGGGTTTCACCATGTTGGCCAGAATGGTCTCGATCTCTTGACCCTGTGATCTGCCCACCTTGGCCTCTGAAAGTGCTGGGATTACCGGTGTGAGCCACTGTGCCTGGCCTGCATAAAGCCTTTTTTAAGTGATAAGAAAAAAAAAAAAAGAGCAAGTGATTTGAACAGATAGTTCCCCAAAGATATGTGTGCCCAACAAGTACATGAATACAAATTTAATGTTATTGATCATCAGAGAAATGCAAATTAAAACCATCACATTATTACCTGACCAACATGGTGAAACCCCATATCTACTGTAGTCCCAGCTACTTGGGAAGCTGAGGCAAGAGAAACACTTGAACCCGGTAGGCGGAGGTTGCAATGAGCTGAGATTGTGCCATTATACTCCAGCCTGGGCAACAAGAACAAAACTCATAGAAAAAAAAAAAGACATTCTTGCTGAATTGAGGACTCAGAACAGGCTGGATGTGGTGGCTCACCCTTGTAATCCCAGCACTTTAGGGGGCCAAGGTGGGTGTATTGAGGTCAGGAGTTTGAGATCAGCCTGGCCAACATGGTGAAACCATCTCTACTCAAAATACAAAAAATTACCTGGATGTGTTGGTGCACGCTTGTAATCCCAGCTACTCAGGAGACTGAGGCAGGAGAATCGCTTGAGCCTGTGAGGTGGAGCTTGCAGTGAGCCAAGACGGAGCCACTGCACTCCAGCCTGGGTGACAGAGTGAGACCCTGTCTCAAATAAATAAATAAATAAAAAGACTCAGAAGTAATGCTAAGGTTTCTCCTTTCTATTCTCATATCTAATGAGAACTGTGAGACTCTGCCTCCATTTCCCCATTTAAAAACAAGAGCTCATTTACAAGCAACATGGCAAGAATTTAAGCAGTCATGATTGTGAAGCATTTCTGCAGGAAGATGCTATTTAAGTATGAGGTTGTTACTAAATCAAAATGAATGCCTTTGTGCAAAACTAGAATGTACATTACATATTGTTCCTGAGCATTTCTCCCCAGTGCATTCAAAATATTCTCACATTCAGAAGGTTAAACAGCACATTTAAAAATAGGAGGCTGATGGCTGAGCTCAATTGGGAAGATCTTTCTTTGGTGCTAAAATGCTTGAAAATTATTTTGGGAAGACTATGAGCAAGTTATTTTGAACTTCTGGGGAAAAAAAGCTGAGGGAACATTCCCTTTGCTTAAAAGCAATGGAGACATTTATTTATGCCTTTACAGAATAAAACAGTTTGCTTACTACCAGTGTTTGTGGGCTGATATTCAACTTGACTTATCATCTGGAAATTTTAAAAACACACACTGAAACTGAAAAAGTACTCTTTGAGTAAGGGTTTACCTGACATGACCAGAGCCATTCAAAATGAGGGCACATAATATCTTTTTTTTTCTTCTTGAACATTTTTGGAATCTAATTAAAGATGCTTCTTAGAATATGTGGAAACCGCACATGGTATTTTGCATATCACTATCATTCCAGTTCTAATCTTATTAGGTGTTTAGCTATAGGCAAGTAGAATTAGGGTATGATGTGACGCAGATGTTAATGAGTTGCTGGGAAACTACATACTCTATCCCTAGGAAAACACACAAACACACATTCTCAAAATTTTATATAATTTCAGGAATTTCCTAGAAATCCCCACCCCAAATCCCATTCATGAAATCCTTAGCTCAAAATCCTGTGCACTAGAGCAATTTCTTTTACAAAACCATATTCAGATGCCTGTGAAGCAATGAATGTGTTAGGCAATGTTAGGCAGTAGAAACAGCGATACACCTAGTCAGACAGGGTCCCTAGAAGTCATGGAGCTTAAAGTCTAGTAGGGGAGATGGAGATTTATCAAATAATCACACAAAAAGATGCCTAATTACAAACTTTGATTAAGTGCTATGGAGAGATATACAGTACTGCAGGTAACAATGGAATCTAATCCAGTTCCTCTAAAGAAGTTACATTTTAGGGTCCATATAAAGAATGTTGCACAGAGAAGGTAAAGGAAACAGTATGGTAAAGTGCTGCAAAGGAAATACGGCAATAATAAGGGCTCTTACAGGTTTAAGCCAGGACCTGAAACTTGTATATTTTATATGCTCTGAAATAAGACATATACTAAATTTAAAGTGGCTGATCAAATTAAAACATTTTCCATTCCCTGCCTACTAAATTGGTAAAGATTTTTTAAAATTCTAATAGAAGTAAAATAAAACATTTCCATATACTGCTGTCAGAAGTATGTAGTTTAGGCCAGGTACAGTGGCTCATGCCTGTAATCCCAACACTTTGAGAGGCCAAGGTGGGTGAATCACTTGAGGTCAGAAGTTCGAGACCAGCCTGACCAACATGATGAAAATCCGTATCTACTAAAAATACAAAATTAGCCAAGCATGGTGCTGCACACCTGTAATCCTAGCTACTTGGGAGTCTGAGGCAGGATAACTGCTTGAACCCAGAAGGTGGAGGTTTCAGTGAGCCGAGATTGCGCCACTGCACTCCAACCTGTGCAGCTGGGCAGAGCAAAACTCCGTCTCCAAAAATAAAATAAAAAGTATGCAGTTTAAACCACTGACTTTAAAAATGGATGCCTTCTGATTCCATTACACTTACAAAAACAAATCTAAGAAAACAGTAGTGACCTTGCCAGCTTCTAATTAGATTATAAGAAAATAAAAAATATATTTAAAAATTTTAAAAAAAGAAAATGGTAATAATCCACCAGGATGTTAATAACAGCATTATTTACAAGATGAAAGAAACTGAAACAAAGCATATGTCTAACAGTAGGGAGTAAATTATGACAATCCAGATTACAGAATAATATGCACCCATTAAATCAGAGTATTTAATGATATGGAAAAAATTCCTCTTAAGTGAAAAAAAGCATTACAAAACAGCATACGTTGGCCAGGCACAGTAGCTCATGTCTGTAATTCCAGCACTTTGGGATGCTGAGGCAGGTGGATCACGAGGTCAGGAGTTTGAGACCAGCCTGACCAACATGGGAAACCCCATCTCTATTTAAAAAAAAAAAAAAAGGAAAAAGGTTATGAGCCCTCATTTTTATTTTTGAAATATATTTATGCAGAGAAACACAAAGGAAGAAGGTATACAACAATGTTAATAATATTATCTTTAAAAAAAATAAAATAAGGCTGGACACAGTGGCTCACACCTGTAATCCCACACTTTGGGAGGCTGAGGTGGGTGGATTGCTTTGAGCCCAAGAGTTCAAGACCAGCCTCGGCAACATGGCAAAACCCTATCTCTATAAAAAGATGAAAACAATTAGCCAGGTGTGGTGGCACAGGTGTGTAGTCCCAGTAATTCAAGAGGCTGCGGTGAGAGGACTGCTTGAGCCCAGGATACTGAGGTTGCAGTGTGCTGTAATTGTGCCACCGCAATCCATCCTGGGTGACAGTGAGACCTTGTCTTAAAAAAAAAAAGGATCAATTTTTGTTATTGGCCTACTCAGAATATTCCAGTACTTAATTTCACTATTACCATTTATTCTGTTAGTCCTTCTCTACTAAGGAACATCCAAATTCTCTGCTAATTAAGTGTTTTTAAAAGTCACATTTGGGTGAGATATTCAAACTAAACCCTGGGTGACAGTGCCCTCTGGTGGTTTCACCAATAATGTTTGAACAAGAACTGTGTAGTGAGTTTTTCATGAAGCTAACTGTATTTAATTTTAAGAAGCATTCCACTTTATGAATTTTAAAATGTCTGCAAAACAGACAAATAAATAGATCTTTCATAAAATGTTAGTGATGGTGGATAACAGGTTCTTATCCCTGGGGCGGGGAAGAGTGGCTTGGGGAGCAGAGAGCAGGTGACGCTGGTGATGAAATATGTGCTTATTTGGCAAAATTAAAAATCAGCAATTCATGAAAAGCAGAATCTCAGGAAGTACAGTGTACATCTATGCTACCAGTACAGTAAAGTCAAAGTTAATTCTCCAAAGCACTGACACATGAGTATGTGGGTTTGGATGTCTTAGGACAATCCCTATTTAGTAGAGCTTGGTACTTGGAAGAAAAATCTTCATCATTACATTTTGATTTGTTTTTCAGTTCTTTCTACATTTACAACATAGCTAAACATTTGTAGAATTTTGGATATAAGTCAACCTGAAAGAAAATCAAACATTTTTCAAGAATACATCATTGACAAAGCTGGTAAATATTTCTGATTTATTAAATTCAATCAAACTTGTTTTTTTAATCTTTCCAAATGAAATTTAAATTAATGGAAAAAGTAAACCACTTAAAAATATTTCCTTTGGGTAACAGAAGGTCATCATTATTAATTATTTTCTTTAGTCTCTCCTACTTCACTGGCTACTTGAAACTTCAACTAGAGTTCCTTTATTAAAAGAGCTAGATCAAACAATGGACTCTGAATGAGAAATTATTTTTCACATCAATTTTACTGCATCACAAACATTTTACAGCTCAAGTTTAAATAAAGCAACTTTCCACCTTATTAAAAGATTCTTCACCTCCTAAATACAAATTGAAGGGGAAGCAATATTATTAAGGATCCTATATAACTAGTAGTGGCAGCAGAGTTATTATTAACATTCTCATAACACTAGTCTAGTGGCATTAACATTTTAATCACAGAGCTGCAGCTGTTTGCATGTGTTCTGAAGCTAGCATAATCTTTAAGACAGCCAGGAAAAAAACCCTCAAAACAAATTACATAATGTTCTATCTAGAAAAATCTCTAGGAAAGCACATTCTTCGGTGAAACAAAACCACCCCTTTGTCATTGTGATATACTGAGAAAAGCTCTGGAGCCTGACAGTTTGGCTCCTGGCTCTCCCACTTGTTTGGTAGGGTTCCAGTCACTGTAAAATGCGATTACGTCCCTTCTTCAAAGGATTATTTTGAGAATTTAATAAGAATGGATGGAAAGGACCTAGTAGATATAGTAAAATCTGATCAAAATATCAGTAATTTAATTATTTCCTAGAAGCCAATTGAAACATTATAACATTTATTTTCTTGGTAGACCTTGAGTTTATTCTCAAAGGCAATTTAAAAATCTCCCTCAGCAAAGCCATGCACCTTTTTATTAATCATATTTATACTACTAACAATGTTTGGCTAATGATGTAAAAATACTTAAATCATACTAGACACACAAAAAGAGATGTTTCTCAACTTATGGTAGGATTACATCCCAATAAACGCACTGTAAACTGAAAATATCGTAAATTCAAAATGCTAGCCTGCCTTAAATATGCTCAGAACACTTACATTACCCTACAGTTGAGCAAATCATCTAACACACAGCCTATTTTATAATAAAGTGTTCTGATATAACCTATTGATGTTCTACTGAATATATATGGCTTTGGCACTACGGAAAAGTCCTAAACTGGAGATCATACATAAATGAAAGACTAAAATTGAAAAAGAAAAATAAAATGTAATAGGTTTCTCTAAATGAGAATGTCAAATCCAGAATTACTTAACATATATAAAAGTACACATTCTAATATATGAAAAGATATTTTATCATTATTACTTTACTATATATTAGTGAATACACCAGATGGCATTTTTTCAAATTGCAAATGAGGCACATTTCTCTTTGATTCTCCCAGGAACCTCAGCTTCATCTGTCTTTTGGAGGATTCGGATTCTTACGACATCTGTGATACCTTGAAAAGAAGAAAATAACTCAGAATAAGATGACCTTAATAAAATTAATTATTCCTGATAAAATCTTAAATTTCTATGATTATTTTGCTATTGGAACTACTTTTTAAAAAATCAGTGAAACCATGTATCAGGCATTTCTTAATAATAAGCCACATTCTCCCATAGTGAACATTTGTTTTCTTTTCTTTTTGTAATCATTTTTTTTTCCTCAAGACTGGGTCTCACTTTATTGCCCAGGCTGAAATGCAGAGGTTATTTATAAGCTCAATAATAGAGTACTACAGCCTCAAGCTCCTGGCACAAGGGATCCTCCTTACCTTACCCTGCCTAGTAGCTGGGACAATAGGCACATCACCACATGTTGTTGACAATTAATTAAACTAAGCATTTAAAATAGTTTTCTTTCACAGCTTGAGGATAATTTCAACATGATGACCGAGATGACTGACTTTGAATTAAAAACTAATGGGTTGTCTTTGTAGTAAAGAAATAATCACATCTAGTGAGATTTAGGCTTCTAAAACATAAACAAAAAAGAAACCACATCATGAATGTGTTCTGTTAAAGTTTTATTTACAAGAGGCTATTTTTCTCTAACTGGAGGTCTTTCAACATGTAAAATCACGTTTTAATATAAAGTAAGATGTAACTAGTAATGTGTTTGTGGAAAAATGTGTAATATGGAAAAATGGAAGAATTGCAAATCATAACAGTGAGGAACGTTTCACTTGTTTTTGAGATCACAAACATGTTAAAATCATAATGCCCAATCCAAGCACAGGTGTGGTGAAATTAGCAGCATCAGACCTGACTGCTTAAAAGTATAAATTGGTACAATACTTTTGAAAAGCAGTATGATAAGATGTATCAAAAAATATTCGTAACTTTTGACCTAGTAATTCTTCTTTACCACTCTATATCAAAGGAATACAGAAAAAGTAACTGAAATATTAAGGAAGAATACAGGAGACAAATTTATATATACAGTATCATAACCATGTAAAAATAAGCAAACTAACAAAACTTACATATAGTATAGAGAAATGAAATGCACTGTTGGCAGTGATAGTTTGATTTCGCCATGGAGAATTTTTCTTTTTGCTTCTCTGCACTTCCTTATTTTCTTTACTGATTTAAGAAAAATTTCTGCATAGAGAACATGTGTTTTTGTGATGAGTTATCTTCAAAAATTTCCTTCTGGTCAGATTTTGACAAGCTGATCATGAGTTTATTTTCAGTTTTCAAATTCTGCTAATGTGGAAATTCAGTCTTATACTATAAATGGGATTTGCACCCTAAGATCTTTTTGGTTGTTAAGATATCTAAAGCATTTTTTGGGTCACGTGCAGTGGCTCACACCTGTAATCCCAACACTTTGGGAGGCCAAGGGAGGCAGATCACGAGGTCAGGAGATCAAGACCACCCTGGCTAACATGGTGAAACCCCATCTCTATTAAAAATACAAAAAAAAAAAAAAGGTATCTAAAGCATTTTTTTGCTTCAGGTTTCGTAGAGGCAACTTCCTGATACATTGATTTTTTTTTTAATCTGCAAAATATAGGAATTAAGTTGAAAACAATGAAGCACATCTGTATTTAATACCATGGAACAGTAAGTTGTCAAAAAATAAACACAGTAAAATACCATTTGTATAAACATTTCTACATGTGCTTACATTGGCATAGAGAAAACTGTTTTTTTCTAAAAGGTTCCATTAACATACCAGATAATCAAGGTTTTACTAGTGCAACAGTGTCTCTGAAAGGCATTCTCTCAAAGCAGGGAATGGTCATCAGAATAGCGGTTCTAGAAAGGGTATGGGAAGTCATTAATCTCTTGAAATTATTTGTAAAAATTTTGAATATGTGTTTTTGTGGGCAGTGGATTCAGAACTTTCATCAGACTCTCAATGAAGTCTGAGACCTCGAGGTCAGGAAATACAGACCATCCTGGCCAACATGGTGAAACCCCGTCTCTACCAAAAATACAAAATTAGCTGGGCGTGGTAGTGCACGCCTGTAACCCCAGCTACTTGGGAGGCTGAGGCAGGAGAATTGCTTGAACCTGGGACGTGGAGGTTGCAGTGAGCTGAGATTGCGCCACTGCACTCCAACCTGGCAACAAAGTTAGACTCCGTCTCAAAAAAAAAAGTCATTCAGCATACATCCTTCAACTATATTTACTACTCAAGACTGACTGAAAATGTTTGAGACTCTGATAGCTCTAAACTGAACAATGTCAAGTTCTAAAAATTGCTCAATAAATGTCAAATAGCATTTGCAGATTTCTTATCATACATGAATTTCAATGTACACTATAATCACTAGCCAAAAGCAAGCACCTTAATTTTAGGATGACCTTATTCTATCATCCAGATTGGGAAACTTGCAAGTACTATTAATAATTAACACAAGAGCTAAACTGAGATTGCTCCTGGCAAACCAAGTCATATTGTTACTCTTCTTAAATTACACAATGACTCAGTGACATCTGGAACACTGGTCCATAGCTCTTAACCCAGAAAACTTTACCTCCTGGTTTATACTAAGCTAGGTAATCAAATCTGTTTCCTACTGAAGGAAGCAGCTAATTTTTGTTGTCTCCATGGGAAAATATTACTTTCTTAAGGTAGTACTATTATTCATGCATTTGTAAGATTGCCCTGTATTTCAGAAATTTAGGATTATTTTCTCCTTCCTTCCTGCCTGCCTGTCTCCGTCCTTCCCTCTCTCTCTCCCTCCCTTCTGCTCTCGCTCTTTCTTTCTGAAGGGTCTTGCCCTACCATACAGGATGGAGTGTAATGACACAATCATAGCTAATTGCACTCTCAAACTCCTTGACTTAAGTGATCCTTCCACCTCAGTCTTCTGAGTAGGTAGGACTACAGGCATGTGCCACCATGCCCAGCTAATTTTAAAAAATTATGGGAGCCAGGCACAGTGGCTCACACCTGTAATCCCAGCACTCTGGGAGGCCAAGATGGGTAGATCACTTGAGCCCAGGAGTTTGAGACCAGCTTGGGCAACATGGTGAAACCTCATCTCAACAAAAACTTTAAAAAGTAGCCAGACATGGTGGTATGAATCTATAGTCCCAGCTACTCAGGAGGCTGAGGTAGGAGAATCTCTTGAACCTGGGAGGTGGAAGTTGTAGTAAGCTGAGATCAGGCCACTGCATTCCAGTCTGGGTGACAGAGCAAGACCCATCAAAAAAAAATAAAATAAAATAAAACGGTATTATGAGAATCAGAATAATTTATCCATTTTAAAATGTGTAAGCAACTACTATGTGTAGGTCCTAACAATTCTGTAGTACACAAAACAAGATAAAAATCCCAACTTTTATCTTACATTCCAATGCAGGAGACAGAAAAATAAGATATACAAGTTGGCCGGGGAAGGCTTCATTGAGTAAAAACCTGAAGGAAGTAAGAGAGCTAGCTTTACCAATACTGAGAGGAAGTGTGTTCTATGAAGACAAATAGCAAGTATAAAGGCCCTGAGGTGGAAGGAAGGGCATGTTCAAAAGCAGGAAAGAGGCTATGTAGACAGAATGCATGAGCAAGGAAAAGATGGTAGAGCATGAGAGCAGAGAGGTAATGCAGGACCAAATCATGCAGCTACTTGTAGGCCTTGAGTTCTTCTGAGTGAGACAGAAAGCTGTTTGAGAATTTTCAACAGAAAAATTACATGAACCAAGGGAACTGTTAAAAGGGTAACTCTGGCTGCTATGCTACAAACAGACTGCAGCGAAGCAAAGGAAGCAGCTGGGAGACCAATTAGGAAGTTATTTCAACAAAACGGGCAAGAATGATAATTTGGACCAGGACAGTGGCAGAGGGAATGGTGGTAAGTGATCAAATCTGGATATATTTTGGAGATAGAACTAACAAGATTTGCTAATAGACCAGATGTTGGGTATTGGACAGAGAGAGGAGTCAACAGTGGTACCAAGGTTTTTGGCCCAAGCAGCTAGAAAAATAGAGCTGGCAGTAACTGAGAGAGCAGGCTGCAGGAGAAGCTGGTTTGTGAAGCGCAGTTAGACACATACCAAGTTAAGGATGCCTATTACACATGTCAAGTAGGCAGTTGGATATGTAAGTCTAGAGGTCAAGGGACAGGTCTTGACCACAGATGGATATGGAAGCCATCATCACACAGATGGTATTTAATACTGTGGGTCTGGATGAGATTCCTGTCCTAGAGAATGGGACAGAAAAGTGGAGCGGTCCAAGGACTGATTATTGGAGCACGCCAAAATCTAGAAACAAGGGAGAGGAAAAGGAACCACCAAGATAAATCAAAATAGTATATTAACATTAGATATGTAAAAAGAATTTCAATAGTTCCTAAGGTTGAATTAATGAGAAAAGTAATAGACACACAATCAGGAACTCTATAATGAGACAGCCAAAGGGTCCCCAGAGAAACTCCGACCAGCCTGCTCACTGGGAAAATGGGTGGAGCCTCAGAAAGTCTATGCTGTTTGCAGGGAAATGGAACTGGGCTTCTCATGATCCGGTATGGTAATCTGGGGATTCAATCTGTGAGATGGGGGCCTGTTTACAGGAATCTCTCTCGCTTTGCTGAGTGTTTTCCTTTATACCCAATAAACCCTGCCCTTCCCCACCCTTCAAATCGTCTGGGAACCTAATTTTTCATGGTCGTGTGTCTTTAGCTGACCTAAGAAAAAAGTCCTATAACAATAATATTGCTCAAATGATGTATTCCAGGATAATTAGAAGGAATACTTCCTGACTTAATTTTTTTCATGCCAACTAAGGAAGACTAAAGAAAGGAAGAAAAGCTTGCACAGAGAAGCTGGCAACTGAGGGTGCTGACATGCTTCCTGAATAATAGCAACATAAAAGGCCAGAAGGACATACCTCAGGAATGGCTGTTGGAAGACAATACAATTCAGAACTGTGGCCTCAACAATTATTTACGGAGCCACTACTGGCCACAACAATTATTTACAGAGCCACTACAGAACCACTAGGAAGTACAAAATAAATGGGTTTGCAGAAGAAGCACCTTCCAAAGAATATGTTTGAAGCCCCATGACTCCAGGTAAACAATATATAATGACTAAGCTAGTTTAATTTGTTTTCATCACCTGTAATATTACACGGGAAGTAGCAGAAGCTTTGTGGTTATATATGCTATTTTTAGAAAAAAATCCATCTTTGCACAATTAAATATAAAAATAGTCATCCAGACAAAAGCAAAGGTTTTAACTTAAAACCTCAAATTAACCCCAAACCCAACATCTTGGGTTTCCTCATCACCTGCCCCCATGCTAAGAATTCAAACAGTTCCAGTACCCAATCTTGGTATGAAGCCCAAATCTAAGAAGACTCTGAATTGACATCCTAAAATAAACAGAATCACCAGAATAAGAAAAGGCAAAATACAGCTCACAAACGTATGCTTATTTATTAATTTTTGAGGCAGGGTTTCAGTCTGTTGCCTGGGCTGGAGTGTAGCGGCACAATCTCAGTTTACTACAACCTCCTCCTCCCAGGCCCAAGTGATTCTCCTAACTCAGCCTCCTAAGTAGCTGGGACTACAGAAGTGTACTACCATACCTGACTTGATTTTTTTGTTGTTGTTTGTATTTTCTGGAGAGATGGGGTTTGCCATGTTGCCCACGGTGGTCTCCAACGCCTGGGCTCAAGAAATCTGTCCATCTCAGCCTCCCAAAGTGCTGGGATTACAAGCATATAATCCTGGTCCACAGATTTAATAGTAAACACTTCTGATTTTTAGACATAAGATAATCTCATCAACAATACTTATTAGCCACTGGCCTATTCACCATCAATTCTTTACAGTCATACAACCTACAAACCCAGTTCACCCACCTTGGGTGAGGCCAATAATTCGACACAGATGACTTCAAGACTGAATGAAGTGGGGCAACAACTCTCGATCATTAAGGATTTGCTGACCTTGATTAAGAATCTGATAACGAGAAACACCTTAACCCACCTGTGATCTATCTGGATAAACTGGAATTGGATAAACCCGGTTTATCCAGTTATATGGTTATACCACATAACCTGGTACTCTGGAACTAAAACTTCCAAGAATCACTGGGAAATTTACCAGTGGAACATCCTCAAAACTACCATAAAGCACCATTTC